GTATTCCCTTGATATTTCCAGTATCCCAATTGGCACCATACATAGTTATCACAATATTATTATTGACTGTATTTCCTACGTTTTGTTTATATCCCTATGACTATTTTGTAACTACCAATTTGTGCTTTTTAATGCATTTACCTCTTTTACTAAGTCCCCCAACCCTCTTCCTTTCTGGCAGTTAATCAGTTCATTCTTTGTACCTGTCTGTTGGTTTCAATTTTACTCATTTATTTTGTTATTTAGATTTCACATACAAGTGAAATCATGGTATTTGTCTTTGAGGACTTGTTTCACTGAGTGTAATAGGTCTGTCCATGCTGTCACAAGTGGTAAGATGTTACTCTATTTTTTTATGGCTGAGTAACTTCATTGTATGTATGTACTGCAGCTTTTAAAAACTATATGTTATTGATTATGCTATTACAGTTGTCCCAGTTTTTACCTTCATTTCACTTAGTTTAGCCTTCATTTGTTCATCTAATTTGCTATAAAATCAACCAGTTCTGTGAGCATCCTGATCACCAGTGTTTTGAACTGTGCATCCGATAGGTTGGCTATCTCTTGGTTGCTTAGAATTATTGGCTCTGGGGCTTTGAGCTGTTCTTCTTCTTGAGCCATAATGTTTTGGTCTGTTCCTGCCTGTTACATATGAGGGGCGGAGCCTTAGGTGTTCACCAGGGCCAGGCGACCCTGTCGCTGGGTTGTAACGCTATATGTGGGGGCAGGGTCAGAGAGGGGCAATGGCGTTTGTTCTGCTCTCTTTCAGATTTTGGTCCTCTCTGCTGCTTCCCACAAGCAAACTGGGCCTTTCTGGTGCTGGTTCCCAGGTGTGTGGGCTTGTGCACCCTCCAGGACCCTGTGGGTCTCTCCAACGAACTCTCTGTGAGCCTGGGAGCCTCTCCTAGCACCTTGACCCCTGAAAGTTTTTCCAATTGGTGCTTTTAGGCTTTAATCCCCGTCACTGGCCTGGTTTGTGCAGTCTGTCTCACTGCTCACTCTTTTGCCTGGTTTATCTGAGTGTGAATGTGTGAACTACGGTCAGGTCAGCCAGCTGCCTTGTGCCCTCACTGGGTCCGCCTGTTGCCACCCCACGCCTGGGATCCGCCAACTGCCGCCTGCGCGCCTGGGTCAGTCTGGCCACTTTTTCCTGCAGGACCCCGCTCCACCAGCCACTGACTCTACTCCTCTTATCAGTCTGGCTGAATGGTTGGTTGTTGTTGGACTTCCGTACAGTTCAATTTTCTGTCTGTTTTGGTTGCGTTTTTGTTACTAAAATTTTGTTGTCTTTCAACTTGGTTGTGCGAGGAGGCACAGTGTTTCCACCTATATCTCCATCTTGGCTGGAAGTCCCAGTTTTTCCCCCTTTGCCCTCCTCCAGCTGGTACCCCCATTCCCTCCAGCAATTTCCTACCCCTTAGTTCATGTGCATGGGTCATGCTTATAAGTTCTTTGGCTACTCCAGTTCCTATACTGTTCTTAACATCCCCCCGTCTATTTTGTTCCTACTAATTTGCACTTCTTACTCTCTGCACCTTTCCCCCCATTCTTCCCCTTCCCAACTGAGAACCCTCCAAATGATCTCTATATCTATGATTCTGTTCTCGTTCTGCATGTTGGCTTAGTTTTTTTAGATTTAATTGATAGTTGTGAATTTATTGTCATTTTAATATTCATAGTTTTGATCTTTTTTTTAAATGTCCCTTTAACATTTCATGTAATAATTGCTTGGTGATGATGAACTCCTTTAGATGCACTTTGTCTACCCTTCCATTCTAAATGGTAGCTTTGCTGGATAGAGTCATCTTGGATGTGGGTCTTTGCTTTTTTCTCACTTTGAATACTTCTTGCCAGTCCCTTCTTGCCTGCAAAGCTTCTTTTGAGAAAACGGCCGACGGTCTTATGGGAACTCCTTTGTAGATAATTGCTTTTCTCCCACTGCTTTTAAGATTCTTTACCTTTAACCTTTGGCATTTTAATTGTGATGTGTCTTGGTGTGGTTCTTTTTAGGTATATCTTGTTTGGAACTCTCTGTCCTTCCTGGACTTGTATGTCTATTTTCTTTACCAAAATAGGGAGATTTTCTTTCATTGTGTTTTCAAATAAGTTTTCAATTTCTTGATCTTCTCCTTCTGGAACCCCTATGATTTGGATATTAGTATGTTTGGAGATGTTTCAGAGGCACCTTATACTATCTTCGTTTATTTGAATTCTTTTTTTCTTCTTTGTCTCCTCATTTTGGCGGCCTCCCTGTGTTTGTTTCTGTGTTTTAGGTAGAGCTGCTTTGACTCCCTGTCTTAGTAGCATGGGCTGTTGTAGAAAAGTGCACCGATAAGTTGGGTGGAGCAGAGCCTTAGGTAATCGCCAGGGCAGGCACCCATGTCACCACTCTGTGGCTGTATGTGGGGGAGGCCTCAGAAAGGAGCAGCCTCGGCCTGACCTCTGTAGTTTTATCCAAAAGGAAGCTGTCTCCTGGCACTCACCCTGATGCCAGACACTTCAGTGTCTCCCCATGTGCACCTGTGCTCTTCTAGCTATTACCCCGGTGCTGAAGCCCAGAGGGAGGGAGTCTGCCTAAGTCCAAGTCTGTTGTAGGCCCTTTAAGAGGAGACTCCTGAGAATCCTGCCGTTTCTTCCACACCGCAACCCCCACTGGTGTTCACAGCCAGAAGTTACAGGGACGTATCTTTCTGGCATTGGCACCCTGGGCTGGGTGTCTGGCGTGGGGGTGGGATTCTTCGCTTCCTGATTTTTATCTACCACACATGGGTGTGGGACCACCAGTTCCACCTCTCCGCGTGTCTCCTCCCTCTGCCCATCCTACCCGCCTGGATAAATGTGGCTTCTTTAATTCCTTGGCTGTTGGGCTTCCATACAACTCTATTTTGTGATGATTCTGGGTGATACTTGTTTTGTAGTCTAATAAATTTTTGCTGTGGTTGTGCTAGGAGGTGAGCCATGTTTACCCGTGCCTCCATCTTGACCGGAAGTCCCACTTCTCCTGTACCACAGCTTTTTTATCCACTTGTCTTTTGGGTCGCTTGGGTTGCTTCCATGGCTTCGCTGTTGTAAATAATGCTGCAGTGAACATAGGGATGCATGTATTCTTTCAAATTAGTGTTTTGGGTTATTTGGATAAATCCCCAGGAGTGGAATTGCTGAATCGTAAAGCAGATCTATTCTTAATTTTTTCGAACCCACGCCCCAGTACTGTTTTCCATAGTTGCTGCACCAATTTGCAATCTCACCATTAGTGCATGAGCCTTGCCAGCACTTGTCATTTGTGGATTTATTGATGGTAGTCATTTTGACGTGTGTGAGGTGATATCTTACTGTGATTTTAATTTGCAGAGGCTCTTTTTTCTTGAGGCATCTCTCAGAGGCTCTTGGACCATGAGAGTGTTTAGGCCCTGGGGGCTAGATCTTTGAGTGCTCCTCGGGACAGAGGGATGGGGCATGGTTCTGGACCTGACTGGAAACCAGCTAGGGGACAGTTCTCCAGCTGCCTCATCCTGATGGGACCAAGCTGGCCAGGATCTGGAGTCTGTCAGCACTCAGTGTGGTTTGGGTTGGGTTGTTAGTTACCACTGGCATGACTCTTCATATCTTAAAAAAGAGAGAGATATGTAAAGGATATTTGATACAAGGCTGTTAGCTAGAATACGCAAAGAACTCTTAAAATTGAACAATGAAAAACCAAAACCATGGTTTTTATATTATATTTATTTTATTTTTAGAGGGAGGGGAAGGGAGGGAAAGAGGGTTTTCTCTAAACATCGACGTGAGAGAGAAGTATTGATTGGATACCTCTCACACACACCCCAACTGAGGACCACAACGCTAGTGGAATCAAATCTATGACCCTTCACTTTGTGGATGACGCCCAAACAACTGAGCCACGCCAGTCAGGACATGAAACCCTGATTTTTATTTTTATTTTTTATTTATTTATTTATTTTGTTTGTGAAACCCTGATTTTTAAATAGGACCCCCCAAAATTCTACACAGCCACCTTACCGAAGAAGATGTACAGGTGGCATATAAACATTTGAATAGAAATTTAACATCGTGTCATTAGGGAACAACGAGATACCACTACATACCTCTTAGAAGGGCAAAACCCAGCCCTGGCTGATGTGGCTCATTTGGTTGGAGTGTTGTCCTGTAATGTAAAGGTTGAGGGTTCAATCTTTAGTCTAGGTGCTTAAGATACTGGTGCTTACAGGAAGCAGCCAATCAGTGTTTCTCTTCCCCTTCCTCTCTCTCAGAGCAGTGGAAAAAACGTCCTCAGTTAAGGATTTTAAAAAAAGAAGGTGGAAAACCTCAAACACTAACACCACTAAATGCTGGGAGGAGGTGTCAATGAACAACTTTCTTTGCTGGTGGGGATGCAAAGTGGTGCAGCTACTTGGAAAGACTGTTGGCAATATATTACAAAACTAAACATACTCTTACCCTGTGATCCAAAAGTCATGTTCTTCGTATTTACCCCAAAGGAGTTGAAAGCTAAGTAAAAGAAGCCACTCTGGAAAAGCTATATACTGTACATACCAATTATAGTGTACGATACCGTATGAAACCCGTATGTACAACATCAACAGTGAACCCTAACGCAAATTATAGAGTCCGGGTGATAGCAGTGTGTTACTCTGGGTTGACAGATTGTAACAGATATACCACACTGTTACAAGATGTTGATAGTGAGGGAGGCTGTGTATGTGTAGGCCAGGGCAGTTTTGCTGTGAAACTAAAACTACTCTTAAAAATAAAGTCTGTTAAAGAAAATGAACTGGAACATCAATCTCAGACCTTTTCACAGCTTAGCAGACATCTTGCTCTAGAAGTACTGATGGATCGTTGGTTGTTCTAAAAGTGACAAAGCTTCAGTGCATATACCACTTGGAAATAAATTGCTTTTCAAGTAAACTGAATGATCCTGTCTCAGCTGCAGATTGCTTTACCATGGTGTGTTCACAGTGATCTCTTCTCTTTCCCTGCAGGACAACCCTCCCTATGATAAGGGGGCCTTCAGAATCGAAATCAACTTTCCAGCAGAGTACCCATTCAAACCACCGAAGATCACATTTAAAACAAAGATCTATCACCCCAACATCGATGAAAAGGGGCAGGTCTGTCTGCCAGTAATTAGTGCTGAAAACTGGAAGCCAGCAACCAAAACCGACCAAGGTAAGGCATGCTCCTGTGTGTCCTTCTCTAGTGGTGCTGCTGCTGTGGGACAGGGGTTCCACAGTGCCTTCTAATACCATGTCACACACAGTCCAGAGACATCTTACCTTACTAGCTCCGGTACACACTCAGGTACAGCTGAGGTCCCACCAGGCCTGTGGGCATGGCACATCTCTGCCAAACAGTTGACCTGCGTGGCTATTCGAGGAGGCCCTGCCTATGCAGTGGGGGAGGTAGGCACCGCCCACGGCAGCTTTCATGAAGGACTATGGGGTTGCCTCAAGGGGGAGGGAGAGTGGTGTTTAAGGTCCCTCACTCAGCACAGCAGTTAGCATGTGTACTCAGATATGAAGCTAGAAGAGCGGTTGGAGAGGGCCTTACAGACTAAAAGAAGGGCATGAGCCAAATCTTGGTGGGCATCAGCAGAAAGCCAGTGGCTCAGAGTGGGTGGTGTGGGCGGGGCGTACAGTCGGACTCAAGGGCTGTGCCTGAATGAAAGTTTAGTTGGCTTTAGTGGGCCTGGAACTGCCAGGAATTGGATACTGCCTGGTGTGTCCATGTGTCTGGGTGTCTCTGTGTAAACACATACATGCTCATTTAGCTGAGGGGGGGGCTTAATTTTAATATTGTCGTTGGCCTCCCTTTTGTCCCCTAGAATATACTAGATTTTTCTAGATTTCCTTTTTTTTTTTTTTAAGACAGAGGGGATGGAAAGGAGAAAGAGAGGGAGAGAAACATTGATGTGTGAGAGAAACATTGATTGGTTGCTTTTTTCACACACCCAACTGGGGACTTGGCCTGTAAACCCAGGCATGTGCCCTTACTGGGAATTGAACCAGTGACCTTTAAGTTCACAGGCTGGCAGTCAATCCACTGAGTGACACCAGCCAGGACTGATTTTGTATAGTTTTTATTTCCTAATTTCAGAACTTTCTTTTGAAGTCCTCATATCTCATATTTTGGGTGGCTTTCTTAATAAGTAACCAGCTGAACACTATAAGGTCTATTTTATTTTATTTTATTTATTTTACTTATTTTATTTTAATTTAGTCTTTGTTATATTTTTTCCATTACCATTTACTCCCCTTATACCCCCACCCCCCTTAAAGTCTTTTTAGATTAAAGATAATGATTAAGGCTGGACTTTGTGAAGCAGCAGGTGAATGATGTAAATAGTAATTTTTCATTGGAACCCCTGGAAGATGGAGCTGAAAGATGTTCACATTGAATGTTCAGCCTCAGACTCAACACAGCTGAGTAATAGCAGGGAGTCAGTACCAAATGCTGAGTCAAAATAGAAAGATCTCCAGTGGACTTGGCACTTGGTTGTGTACAAGTTTATGTTTATAAAAGCTTGACAGAGTTTGTTTGTTTGGGGTTTTTTGTTTTTGTATGTTTTTAAAGGAGGAAGGGAAAGAGAAACATCGCTCTCTTCTTCCACTTACTTATGCATTCATTGGTTGATTCTTCTGTGTGCCCTGTCGGGGGATTGAATCTCCAACTTGGCATATTGGGACGACACTCTGACTGAGCTACCCAGCCAGGGCTGACAAAGTGCACATGCCGAATTTGGGTTTTTCCTATAGATTCGTAGCTCTGTGTTCGGAAACGCCTTGTCAGCCCCTCACGCAGCTCCAGGAGCTCTTGCCACACTGTGTGTATTAAACAGCATGTCTGGGGGCGGGGTCCTTCCAGGCCAGGCTGTCTGGGCAGACCCCGCCCTGCAGACTGCCCGGCCCCAGGGATCGCAGGGCTCCTTCCTCCCCGAGGACTCTGGCAGTGAGGGCGGGGGGGGGGGGGGGGGGGGGGGGGGGGCTGCACAGGGTGTCGTGATGTGACCAAGCGTGACACAGTGTATTTTTTTGGTATGTAACTTACACCTCAATTTTTAAAAAGAAGGTAGAAAAGCATTAAAAATTTACTAAAGCCCTGGCTGGTGTGGCTCCCTGGACCGAGTGCTGGCCTTCCAACCAAAGGGTCACCGGTTCAACTCCCAGTCAGGGCACATACCTGGGTTGTGGGCCAGGTCCCTGGTAGGGGGTACTCGAGAGGCAACCACACATTGTTGTTTCTCTTCCTCTCTTCCTCTCTTTCTCCCTTCTTCCCTCTCTCTAAAAATAAGTAAATAAAATCTTTTTTAAAAAGTTGACTAAAAATAGCGTGAAAAGTCAAGAAACAAGGCAAAATTGTATCAAACAGAAAGGTCGTAGGAGTTGGCAATAATATTACCAGAAGAATATGATCATAAAGTTGTTCAGCCGTGTATGTGGTTCTAGTAGATATTTTAGCAGCAGAGCTAGATCTTAGTTTTGTGGTTTAATGCGATTTGTCGTATAAAATACAGCCACTCAGCCCTGGCTGGTGTGACTCAGTGCATTGAGCACGGGCCTGTGAAGCAGGGGTCGCTGGCTTGGTTCCTGGTCGGGGCAAGTGCCTGGGGAGCCTGGCGTTCCCAGTGGGGAACGTGTGAGAGGCAACCACGCACTGATGTTTCTCTTCCACTCTTTCTCCTTCCCTTCCCCTCTCTCTAAAAATAAATAAAAATATTTTTAAAAATAAAATAACAGCCAGTAACAAAGCCAGCATAATACCAATTCTGTATGTATTAAACAACATAACGTAACAACAAAATTATATGGAGAAAAATAAAACAGCCCTGGCTGGCGTAGCTCAGTGGATTGAGCGTGGGCCTGTGAACCAAAGGATTACGGTTTGATTCCCAGTCAGGGCGCATGCCTGGGTTGCAGGCCAGTTCCCAGCAGGGGACGCACGAGAGGCAACCATACATTGATATTTCTCTCCCTCTCTCCTTCCCTTCCCCTCTAAAGATAAATAAATAAAATATTTTTTAAAAAATAGAATAAAACAAATATCTCCCCTACACTATTATACCAAATCATGTAGATGAGATTTATAAAAAGGACTCAAGAAATATAGCAAACAGGGAAAGATTAGCTTCACATTTTTATAATGCCTCCATGGAAGCCGCCATTCGTATTGTGCTCTGAGAGAGGGGACCATCCCGGGTCCCCGTGAACGGGGGAATTGCAGACAGCGTCCTCAATTACAAACACAGTCAAGAACAAAAATGAGGAAGTTTTGTAGGCTTTATTATTCTGTGACCTTTTGCAGAGTGGGGCGAAAGTGGGTGTACAGTTTGTATGGAAAATAATACAGGAATTAATAAATAATACAAAAATAATCTGTTTTACACACAACTATAAACCTGCTTTTGTACAATGAGAGCATAGGAGGAGGTAAATTTTGGTTGTATTTTAGCCCCTATTTTTGGAGATAAAAAGTACTTCTGAGGAGCATTTGGGTCAAGAAACCAGAGCCAGACATTTATAAAATAAAATGAGTGTGCCGTTCTTGATATAAAAACTGATGGGACGGGGCCAGAGTTGTAGCTTGGCAAGCACTTGTAGCTCTTAGTGTCTGCACTTGGGTTGTATTACAGTTTAACTGAGGAGACAGAAGTGCATCCAAAGGAACAGAAAAAGAATGAAATACTCATCAGAACTACTAAATAAATTTGAAAATACTTAAACTTGATCAAATAAGTAAAAGTAAGTTCTCAGGAAAGAATTAGATGAACAAACAGCAAACTTGCAAAGTGAATATCTTTTTAAAGACATGTCTTAACAATTATTAAATGGTTTTTATACTAATACATTGGGTAGTAATATCTCCATAGTAAGAAACCGAAAGCCTGAGTATCCCTAACAGAGAGTGAGCAGGAAAACTTGAAAACTCATCAGGGCCCGGCCCCCGCATCTGCCCCACAGCATTCAATCCTGTGGGGGTCCTGAAACGCTAATGAAGTAGCAGTTCTGCTACAGAACCATTTCTGATCTTGGAAAAAGATCAGAAGCCACCTATTTATGTTCTCAAACCCCAAAAGAGGAAAGATCTTTGCCGGAGGATGTGATCAAGCTCCTTACAGTGTGCAGACTGGAAACAGCCGGGCAACAGACAGGTGTGTTTCGGAGGAGAGAGAAAAAGCAGGGTTTCTTAGAGTAAAGAGTTCATTTCTGAGAAGAATCAGTCCTGCATCTTAGGGTAAAGATTGGTCCAGAAAGGTGATTGTTAGATGCCCGATGCTCCGGACAGTGGAACAACTTCTTCTGGAAGTTATTTGGGATGTCACCTGAAGGTTTGATGTACCTCCAGGCGTTGACACAGCGATTGATGGGCATCCAGGTGTTGGCATAAGTGCAGAAGTTTAAGACTGGTTAAGGCGAGCCTCATACCTCAGCATACTTTAATAATTTAGCAACATGAACACAGTGACTCCATATTATTTCTTCACTCTATTCTTTAATGCTATAAGTAGCACATAAGGAAAGTGGAGCAGTCTTACGTCTGAATGAGGAGTGGAGAATCTTGGTGTGCACTAAAGCAGTGTGGCCAGGGAGCTGAGGGCTGTGCGTTAGAGCAGCGGTGAAGGTGCCGCTGGGAATAGTGTCTGGTCAGGTGTGGTTTCTTCCCCAGGCTGGGCAGGAGGAGGCCTGAGGTGCTTATTGTAATGTTTGTCTGAGACCATCCAACCAGGAATGCCTTGTCCTGTTGATGCTTGCCTTCTGTTTATGGCAAGTATTTTCCAGTTGAGTTACTAATGTTTACTTTCCTCTAAAATATATACAAAAAAGTGAAATCTTAAAAATATATTAAGTAAGTTATCGTTTTGGCTATATGTGGATATATGGCAAACAGTGGAATACCAGTGGTTGAAGTTGAGGAAATAGGAATAAGCAAAACAGCTTTATTATTGCTTTTTCTCAGGTATGTAAGAATGAAATATAGGAGGGTACATTTTGCAATAAAAGAGACAAAAATACTTCCACAGTGTGCTTTTTCTTAGAGATAATACAGATAGCATGCTGGGGGCAGGGGGGCGGCGGTGGAGGTTAGCAGAGAGATTGCGGGTGGCCCTGGCCTACAGAGTCACTTCTAGGCCTTTCACCCCTGCTTGCTACTCATAGTCCACCCTCCTTGCCCAGCCATCCTTCCTCCTTACTCAGCCCTGTGGAGCCACCCTTCCTTGCTTTTACCCCATTGCCTCACCTGTGCCCACTGTGGTCACAAGAACCCTTGATTGCCTCTGTCTCACCTGGTAACATCAGTAGGCCAGGTGAGTGGCACGTGGCGTTTGGCCACCTGGACAGGAGCACTTTGTGCCGTTCCCCTCACTCAGCATGGTGCTGTTGACTGCTTTTGTCTTTGTCCGTGACTGAGCCAACACTAGCATTTAAATCCATTCCTTATAATGTTGGCCTGGAAAGCATGGTTCCCTGATAAAGGAATCTGTGGCATTGGCAGTCCAGAGGAGAGATGCCTTTGTGCTAGGAATGTGCCAGTGATGGAGCGCAGCATTCTAGAGGTACTGGTCCTGATGGGGCCAGGGGATAAGAGGAAGTGTGTGTGAGAAGGTGTGTTGGCTGCATGCACCCCACTTCTGAGGGGGCCTGTGCTCTGGGACCTTCCCTACTTCCCTCAGTCTCCCTCCAGCACCTTCAGTTCCCTCGAGGTTCTTCTGTCCCAGGGCTCACCTTTCAGTGCATCTAGGGCTTACTGCTCTTCAGAAGATCATTGTAGAACCCATCCCAAGCCATCAGGGAAATTTGTTGTGACCTCTGCCTCTGGATGGACAGCGTGATGCCACTGGGGGGGGGGGGTTGAACCCCCAGTGGTTAGACAGGGGGGTCAAATGAACCTTTCTCAGCTGGTTCAGAAGCTCCTTGGGGTCTTCCAGGGTGGACTCACTATGCACTTAGGCAATGCAGGCCTGTCGTGCACCCTTCATTGTCAAACTCGTTGAAACTACCCTGAACTGAGCACAGTTCTGGAACACACCACTCAGCCCTTGCCCTGGGGAAGATTTGTGCACGCATGTGTGAGAGAGAAGAGGGACTGCGTGTGTCAGGCTTGAAGTCTCCAAAGTTTGGGAGAGGGAGGGGGGAGACTGGGGCCTGGGGCTCCCCCGGGTATTAATTCGGGAAGGTCCCCAGAGGAGGGGGAAGAGGCATCAGTCACTCTGAGCATGTACCCACTGTTGACTGTTTGTTGTCTGTCCCCTTCTCCTAATTATAAGTGCTGCTGGTTGGAATTTTGGATGCATCGGAGGCTGCTTTGTCTTTGAAGCACATAGCTGTAAATCAGTGTTAGAGTCAGTGCCTGTCTTGCCTGGGCGCTCTCTGAGACCATTGTAACCAGCAGTGCCTTCTCCTTTTCTTGGCAGTAATCCAGTCCCTCATAGCACTGGTGAACGACCCCCAGCCCGAGCATCCTCTTCGGGCTGACCTAGCTGAAGAATACTCTAAGGACCGTAAAAAATTCTGTAAGAACGCTGAAGAGTTTACAAAGAAATATGGGGAAAAGCGACCTGTGGACTAAAATCTGCCGCGATTGATCCCAGCGAGTGTGAGCAGAGACCCGAGCAGTGCATTCAGACACCTTGCAAAGCAGGACTCTGTGGGAAATTGACACGTGCCACCGCCTGGCGTTCGCTTGTGGCAGTTACTAACTTTCTACAGTTTTCTTAATCAAAAGTGATATAGGTAACCTGTAAAGAAAGGATTAAAAATTTAAGATGTTCTAGTTCTGCTCTCTTTGTTTTAAAAATCACTGCTTCAATCTACTCTAAAAGAATGGTGTTTCTTTTCTTGGTCCAAATTTATCCAAAATCTTCAATTTACATTTAGACCTTAAGGTTTAACATGAAATGTTGTGGTTCCCTTTCTGTCCCTGCCCTTGCAACTCTCACTTTCTCGCCTTCAGTTTATGTTTCACTTATTCCCTCCCCAGACCCAGGCCCTGTCTCCTCCACAAAGGGGAAGAGGCAGTTCTGTCCAGTCTGGTGGCTTCTCTTCTATGTTGCACTGCCCAGTGTGGGAGTTTGTTCAAATTCTGCTAGTTCCAATTTATAACATCCTTTTTTAAAAATTTAAAAACAAGCAAACTATCACCACCACCCCCCAAAAAAGCTGTGAAAAGGGAGGCCCAGCTCTTATGTAAAAACCTGGCCAATGTTACCACAATAACGTGGATTAAGTGGCAACCCATGTCTGTGTGTGTGACTGAACTCCAGCCTGGCCCGGCCTGCCTGGGAAAACCCTGCAACATCAGGTCTGCCGCCACCCCAGGGGAGGGCCTGCCAGCCAGAGGACACTGCACTTGTGCAAGGAATTTCTCATCAGAGAGGCTCCTGAGGTCGAAGATTGGCGCTCCTCCTTGCAGCCATTTTAGAAGATGTGTTGGTCATTGCAGACAACGCTAAAGCCAGAAGGTCATTTGCAATCGCATGGTCAGCTGTCAGCAGGCTCCATCCGAATGTGCCACAGAGCTCGCTCTCCAACTCCTCAGTGCAGCAGCCCCAGCTCGGCCCGCCCTCAGCATGGCTGGACTCCGCAGGGTTGGAACTGGCAGGACGCGACTGTAGCCAGCACCAGTCTGGGGTCCCTGGAGCCCCGCTGGCCTCTTTCAGAGCAGCGGGCAGGGCCAACCCCGCCCAGCCTGGGAACAGGACGGCCTTCCCTCTCCCTCCGGACTCACAGCCTTTGCAGAGTCAAGCTCCACTTGAAGCTCACTCAGTAATATCCTTTACATGTGTTTTATATTGTTTTGACTGCCTTTTTTTGTAGAAATAAAAATTGACCTTAGAATTTATCCTCAGATGAACTTGTCAGGATTTGAATGTTAATGTCTTTTTCAAAGGAAGTGGGATTGTCCCTGAACTAGTGGAGAACACATGTAGCTGACACCCAGAGGGAGTCACCAGCTCCGTTTCGGCCACTGGTGGCTTCACTTCTTGGCTCTCCAGGGCACTAGATTCAGTGGAGAAATGGCTTAAACCAACTTTGCTCTGTTTTAATTTTAGTTCTAAAACTTGAGATCTTTCCAGGGCTTATGGCCTGGGAGACAGCTTGGTTTAGTGTGCAGAAACGGGAGCAACAGGAGGTTTGGCAGCGCGATGCTGTGTAGTCGTCCGGGTTTGTCCGTGATTCAGCTTCTCTAGTCCTCCATACTCATGGGATAGGTTCTGGCGACTCCTGTAGGCGCAGGAGAGCGGGGCCAGCATTTCCACGTGTCTCTTCATTAGCAGAAAGGTGACGATGGACTTTATTTCCCTCACACACAGATTTGTAATAAAATGCCAATTCTTTCAGAAGCTGTCCATATAAGCCACCATCATTGCTTCTCTGAATCCAGAATTATTGTCACTCTTGGCAACAGTCCCACTGCTTCGTGTTTCTACAAGCATAGTTCTGCCTGCCTGTCACCCCTCACTTCTCTGTTCACTGCCGGAGGTACCTTTGTCAAACTGGCAGCCCTTCAGGGTACTCTCAGCCCTGGCATTGTACCCCACCATTTGCCCCGGTTGGGACAGGCCTGGCCGTGGGAGGGAGAGCAAGGCCATAGGTGGTCCCTTCCTAAGGCCTGAGTGGCTTGCTCCATCCAACCTGGAGCAGTTCGGTGGTCGCCAAGCCCTCGGGGCAGGCTTTGAGCACGCTGGTGCCCTGGCAGCACCACAGCCAAACAGCTGGGTCCTCTGGGGAAGGGGAGGGCTGTCACCACTGACCTGAGCCCACTCAGGAATTTACTCCTGCCTGAACGGAACCAAAATGGGCCGGGTCCTCACCCTCCTCCCTGCCCCCTATGGCAGAGAATAGGCTTTCTAAGATGCTGCGATCCCGTTCTGCTGCCCTTAATAAACACGCTCTCCAACACGGACTTGGTTGTGTGGGTTTCTTCCTTACTGGCAGTGGCAGTGCCAGGGGCCCGTGTTCTCGGAGGTGTGGGAGGGGGGCGGGGGCCTCTGGTCTCCCAGTTTCTGCCTGCTTCTCTCTCCGCAAGCCCAGCCACTGAAAGAGGCTCAGAGGCCTTCCCGGAAGGGAGCAGGAAAGGCTTAAGGTCCAGAATATTGGGGTCTTCAGAGGGACCCCTTGGGTGTCTCAGAAGGGGACAGCCCCTGTAGGTGTGTGCATCACTTCAGTCCTGTCGGCTCCAGCAGAGTGGGATTGTCCACACTGGGAGAAGCAAGCAGGCTGGCTGGTCCCGGAAATAATGAGGGTGTCACTAGGCCATTTTCTGAAAGGGTTCCACGCAGAAACCCCATGAGTGCCCAGGACAGTGGGTTGCTGAGGCACTGATTCAGCCCAGGGCCGTGACACTATTTTTTGATCAGCCAAGTTCCTTGCCTGTAAATGCAACCAGTGGAGACCAGGCCTGCCCTGTCAGCCAAGTTGGCGGGTTTCTGGGAGGGAAGATTTTACCTGGGGTGTCAACGTTACAGGGAAGCAAGGAGTAGGCCGGTGCTCTTCCTTCTCCCAGCACTACCCTCTGTAAGCTCAGGACGGCCCTGTGGACACCATTATTCCTATTTTTACAGAATGGGGAACTGGGCCTCCGCGACTGCCAGGGTGCGTGGCCTGTGGTTTTACAGTCTGGCTCCTGCTGCGCTCCACCGTACGTCCCTCTGAGCCCAGGCACAGCCACATTCCACCCCTCCCCGAAGCCAGAGGCCTGCAAGACCCCTCAGCTTCCTGAACCTTGAAGCTGCCATTTTCTTGCCTGCAGTTTTAATTGTTCAGCTTGAAATATGCACCTACTTCATCACTCTAGTGCCCATTGCAGCCTGGCTTCTGTCACCCTCTAGCCCCGAGGGCCTCAGGATTTCCTCAGGGTCAGGTCCATAGGCTGGTGGCCTCGGCCCTGTTCTTTCTACACTTGGCAGCACCTGCATGCCCCACCCCGCAGGGCAGCCACCTGACCCGGTGGGAGGCAAAGCCAGAGCTTGAGGGAGTTCTTCCTGCCCATCCAAATTGGCTTCTCGATCCTTCATGCAACAAGGAGGGGTGGCAGCTACCTGAGGGCCGGAGCTGAAGCAGGGACTTCAGCACAGTGCCTGGCCCAGGCAGTACTCGGTAACAGCCAATCCTGGGTGGTTAGAAGTGGTTTTTTGTTTGTTTTAAAGATGTCTTGGATGGTTTTTTAAAAAAGATTTTATTTGTTTATTTTTAGACATTAGGGGAAGAGAGGGAGAGAAACATCATTGTGTGGTTGCCTCTTGCATGCCCCCACACTGGAGACCTGGCCTGCAACCCAGACATGTACCCTGGCTGGGAATCGAACCAACGACCCTTTGGTTCACAGGCCGGAGCTCAGTCCAGTGAGCCACACCAGCCAGGGCTGGAAGTGTTTTGCTTGCAGACTATGCTCCTGGGGGTACCATGTGGTTCTCAAGACAGTCAGACTAAAACATACTACCCACTACTGCGGAAGCCATAACCAAGGTCCTGGAAGGGGATTCTAAAACACTGGGCTGGGCCCTCATCTCTGCTCATGCGCCTCTCCCTCCCACAGTTTCATCTAGCGTCTACAGATTTCCAAGTGTCCCTCCTGCCCACCCACATCTGCCCTGAGCCTGAGAGCCACACAGCCAGCTGCCTCCTCTTAGAACAGCAGAATCCCCCTCGAGGAAGGTGCTCCTGTGCCAGCAGGCTACCTGCAGGTCACCCCTGCTAGCTCCAGCCAACAGCCTGCAGGAGTGTGGTCAGACCCCAGTGGACTGAGGCAAAGAGGTGAAGGCAAGGCAACAGGAGGGACCAAACTCCCAGTGACCAGTTTATAGCCGTGAATGAAAGGTAGGAGGAAAGGGGCTGTACCTAGAAGAGTCAAGGTCTAGGGAAGGTTAAGATGGAAGATGGAACCAGAAAGGGGGGCTGAAGCCATAATCCGGGATGGGGTCACGGGTGGATGGAGGCAGAAAGGGTGGAGATTCCCCACCTTGAGAAAGCTGAATGGCCATCAAGGCTGCCTAGGCCAGGAGAAGGCTCTGTTGGCACCTGATTCCATGCCTGACATAGTGCATGGCAAATACATGAACAGGTAGCTTCAAACCCCTGTTCTACCACTCCCACCATTATTAGGTCTGTTAAGTAGGGACATTAGTGCCTGCACATAAGCAGTTTCACATGAGACAAGGAGGGTCACATGATGTTCCATCTGCCTTTCCATCCCCCAGAGCAGGTCAGGACTCCCTGTGCTTCCAAGAACTTCTTCCCCTTCCCCAACTGCTCCGCTCCCCACATCTGGTCCAGGCTCAGGGCATCCACACAGCACCAGGGCCCATTGGGAATCCGGCCTCCTAAATAAATATTGAGATAATGCACCTCTCTAAAAACAGCCAGACGAGCCCTGGCTGGTGTAGCTCGGTGGATTGAGTGCGAGCCTGCGAACCAGAGTATCGCGGTTTGATTCCCAGTCAGGGCACATACCTGGGTTGCAGGCTAGTTCCCAGCAGGGGACACATGAGAGGCAACCATACATTGATATTTCTCTCCCTCTCTCCTTCCCTTCCCCTCTAAAGATAAATAAATAAAAATATTTAAAAAATAAAAATAGCCAGATGAGATATTCTCCTCCCCCTACACTCCCCAAAGAAGAATAAAACATAAGCATGAGCAAAATGAGACAGTAGAGTTTGTTTTATTTTATATATCTTCTCTGGAATAGTGACCAGGTTTGCACCCTGAAGTTGTTTTTGTCAGTTTGTGTGTCTGTGAAGGTTTTCTGGGCAGTAGTAATCTCTCACCACTATACCTAAAAAAAATGTTTACATGGAAATGTGAAGAGCCCAAAATGCTTGGCAAGCCCCAGGCCAAGATGTCACAGGCCCAATCTCCTGCAGCCAAGAGCGCTTCCGGAAGCTGTGGCTACACTCTACAAGTCATGAGGACCTGGGCATAGAGATGGCATCATTCTGCCCAGGGAAGCCAGGGCCCACTCTAGGGCTTAATTCTGGGCTGTGCCAAAGCTCAGCTCTTGCCCCCTTCCTGAGTGCTGGGGCGTTAGTTCTTGGCTGTCAGCATCACAGCTGAGAGGACTCCAGGAAGGTTTCCAGAGTGGCTTCGCCAGGGACCCCTTCCCTGGGTCTCTTGGAGTCTAGGTCATGGAGGGCACAGACCTGCACACCATCCTGGGCAAGCCGGGTCTGCAGTGTGGGTTCCGTGAGGATACGCAGCTCATGCAGCCGCTCCCAAGAGCAGGAAAAGGCATCAGGGCCCTCACCGCATCCTCCAGCTGGCGGCACACTGGGGTAGCCTGGGTGGGTCATCAGCTCGGCGGTCAGGCAGTGGCCTGTGGGTGTACCTTCCAGGGCCCGAGCCAGGGCCCCTGACACTCGATGAGCTGACATATGCCGGCCGCAGGTGCTCAGGCCCACGAAGATATCGGTCCACCTGTGGATACCCAGGCATCAGAGCAGGGACCAGCAGGACAGCGATGGGTAGGGCTAGGCTGAGGACAGACGGATCAGAGGTGGAGCCACTGTTGATGGAAGCCTGACTCCCTTCGATGTTGAGAAGCGGACTCAGCTGGCCTTTTGCACAGCCAGCTGGACCCACTGGGACCTGGGCCAGGCAGGGAACGGCACCGCTGTGGGGGAGGGGAGGCTCACCTTAGGCCTCTGCGGGAAAAGGGACCCACAGCTGCCCGGGCGTCACGCTCCACCGCGCAGGCAAAGGCACGCGCCGGCGCCTCGAGCCAAGTACAGCTGCCCAGTCCGCGCTCCAGAGGCAGCCGAGTGAAGAGCACCCCGTGGGCCTGCAGTGCCTCTGCAAACACCTGACACACGCCTGCGGGCGGGTGCCGTGGTCAGGGCGGAGCGCGTCTCCCTGCTTGGGAGCACCTCCCACCTCACCTGGGCACACAGCCCCCTGCCTGGGACCACCAACCTGGGAGCACGTGAACGTGCTGATGCCCGTCCACATGAGTGGGTTTCCTGCCCAGTAATTCCTGGAAGCGGCACAGCTGGGCCTCCAGCTCTTCCCGCACCTGGAAGGTGAGGGCAATTGGCACCTTAAACGTCCGGAAGCAGCTACTGAAGAGAACCCCTCCCTAAGTCAGCGTGTGACCGCTCCAGAGTTGGAATCCGCAAGCACCCAGCCTCGGCTCCCACCCGTTTGCGTCAGGGAGCCCTCGGGGTGGAGCCTTGGTGGGAGGGGTCCTCCTCCCGCAGCCGCGCCTCCGCACCTGGGACAAGGCCACATCTCCGGCCGCTAAGGCCTCCCGAAATCCCATCTTGCCAAGGAAGAAGCCTTCGGGCCCGAGCAGCGAGGAGGCACCGCGGCGAGCCGGGCCCACCGGGCGGCCCTCGGACAGGTTGGCGTGGAGTCCGATGGGGATTTGATGCCTGAGGGCAGAAAGCGGCGGGAGTACTGGCGGCCACGGAGCGGAGTGGCGATGACCGAAGCCCTCCCTAAGGCTCTGTAGGGGGACCCTCCTCACCTGCGAGACAGCTCCGCAGCACTCTCCGCCGCCGCGCCGTTGACCAGTAGAGACACACTGGTCACAGCCCCGGAGAGAAAAGCCTCTACGATGCCCTCATCCCGCCGCGGGCAGTAACCAAAGTCGTCCGCGGTGACCACCAGCTGCACGCGAGGCCAAGACATCCTTTTCCTCCGCCTGAGGCTGGGACGTGAGGGGAGTGGACTAAACAGTCCAGGCCCCGCCCCTATACGCTCACACGAGTCCCGCCCGCACTTCACCTTTGTTCTTGCCACCTAGCGGTCCGCGGTAGCCCTGCAACGACCTCCCACCTCCACCCAGCGTGCTGGATCCAACCTAAGTTGACCAGGGCTATTGCAAAGAGAAACTTCCAGAGACTGCAGACTTATTATGAAAAACACAGGAAAGATAACTTGAAGAAAGAAATCTCAACCTTTCCAGAGATTAGTGCTGTTAACTTTCTGGGTGTAGTGTCCTTCCAGTATTCTAAGCAAACAGACACACCCAATTCCTCTTCTCCCAATTTTTGAGAAATAGTAATTGAATCAGTGTTACCTAATTCTTGTGTTGTTTCATTTTTTTATAGTGACTATGAACTTTTTAATGCTTTTATTAGCTTTTTTTTTTTGTCCTCACTCAAGGACTTTTTTTTTTTCATTACTTTTAGAGAAAGAGGAAGAGAGAGAAACATGGATTGGTTGCCTCCCATATGCCCTGACTGGGGATTGAACCCTCCACCCAGGCACGTGGAGTGGCCCAAATCAAACCCTCAAACTTTTGGCTGCCGGATGCTCCAACAAACTGAGCCACACTAGTCAGGGTTTTATTAGCTCTTTATGTTTCTTTTTTCAAATTGCCCATTTGTCTTTACTGATTTTTCTTTCTTTTTAATTTTTTAAAAGATGTTATTTTTAGAGAGAGAGGAAGGGAGGGAGAGAGGGAGAGAATCATCAGTGTGTGGTGCCGCTCATGTGTCCCCTCGTGGGGACCAGGCCCACAACCCAGGCATGTGCTCTAACTGGGAATCGAGCTTGTGACCCTTTGGTTCACAGGCAGGCACTCAATCCACTGAACCAGACCAGCCAGGGCTGTCTTTTATGGATTTTTCTAAGAGGAGTCTTTTTTTGTGGTTTGTAAAAGCTCTAAACAATAAGAAAATGAAAGAAAACATGTAATGCCAATCACTTCATTTGCAAAAGCACTAACCCCTGCTTCCACCTCTTAATTTTTACATTCAGACTGCTCTTTTTCTCTGTGGGCCAGAGAAGCTTTCCCTACCCATGACTATACAAATACAATCATGTCACATGGTTGACATGATGTAGCTGTCCTGAATGTCCCAAGGGGCATGCAGTATTTGCGTTCAGCCTATGACATCAGTGATATCATTTCTGTTTACCAATTTGTTTTACAGATAAAAACTAAGCTAGAGAAGGGAAGTTTCTTGCCCAAAGTGACCCTGCCAGAAGTAGTGGAGCTGGGACTAGATCCAAAGCTCTGAGGCTGCATGTGGGTCTGCTCTGGTCCTGCAGGCCCTGGCTGCCCCCCTGGGTCAGGGGCAGAGATGACAAAGCCAAGTTTGAGGATAACAAATAATAGCAACTCCTATGAGGGCAGTGTAAGAATTGGAGACCTCAAAGGGTTCACCAAGCTCTTGGCATAAGAACTGTTGTGATTGTGCCAATCAAATGTGATTGTTACATCATCGGACTTCAATCAACCATCACTCTTTGTTAGGAAGATGATCCTGGAAAGGCTTTCAAAGGTCCTGAGTGTCTGAAGATTGGAAGGAGAAAGTTAACATTTATTGAGTATCTATTCTAATACTATTAGTGGTATTAGAAATATTAGAGATTAGGGGTGAGTGCTTCGGTTCCCACCCCCAAGGAGCTCCATCTGGTGGACAAATAAGTAACAACAAGCGTGTGGCAGAATCTGGGATGGGATTTGCGGTCATTGTGTATGCCAAGGAAGGGTGAACCTTTTGGGAAGGCTTCTCTAAAGAGGTGGTATCTGGGAGGGGGACTGCATGAGGAGTTTACCGGTCAGAGGGGGAGAGGATATAAAGCTATGCAGGGACATAGTGGGGTGCGGTGTGAAAATGTAATCTTCATACTACCATGTGGAAGGACATTCAGCTCCATTTACAGAGGAGGAGGAGAGGATTAGAGAGGTTGAGTCACACAGGAGGGGAACAGAAGAGCTAGGAATTTAAGGTAGGTCTGTGGTTTAGAGGCAGGACTCTTTCCACTGAGCTCAGGGAGAATGCAGAATGGGGAGGGCTCAAGACAGACCCGGGCGTTGTCCACATTGGGTGAGGGGAGGATACTGGAAAGCAAGAGGCCCAGGACAATGCAGGGACCGGAGAGAAGCTGAAGAAGATGCCTGTGTCTCTACAGGGACTGGTTTTTGTCCTTTAGGCCCCCCCTCAGAGCAAATGTGGAATGAGAATCAGAACCTCTCTCTCTGGGCTCTGAATGTTGCGAGGCTGAAGAAATGAGGGAGGAGCCAATGTGGGCCCCGCCCATCACCTTTGTGTCGGGGGGAGCGCTAGAGAATGAGCTCCCGTTGAGAGCCAATCAGCGTACCGCATGCAAATAAGCACGCCGGGAGGATTTGGGGTGACCCCAAGGCAAAGTGTCCCTGCCCCCTGGAGGGCGCAGATCGCACTGGCTGGTGTCGAGTGATGTGCAGACTCTCGTGAGCGGGTGGGCTCTGGTCCAGGGACAGATGCCAGGATGACCGGGGTCTAGAAAAGGAGAAGGTCTGAGAGGGTCAGAGACAGGACGCAGACGTCCTCGGGCATCTCACCCCTACAACTCGGCACAGATGTATGGGTAGATGTCCAGAGGACTCGAGCAGAAAAAGGGTCAGCCGCATGAGGTGTATGGAATGGGGAGAGCAAGGAACCTGGGGACCCCTGGGCCCCTGGCACAGTGTCCAACAGGCAGATGGAGTGTTGAACACTAGGGAAACTCTCACTCCATGTCCTCGCCCGGTGCAGAAAGGAATCCGCAGCTGCACACAGAACTGAAGAGAGAGGAGGCTGGCAGTGGACCCTGGGTACCCACATCATGACCAGCTGTCGCCACCATTCAGGATACCTGGCAGATGATGAGGCCGGCCACACCCCATACCTGTCCCGGGTATGTGCCCAACAGAGCCTGACTCTGGGGCCCGACCAACCCCATCATGTTCCTCACCAGCTCTGGTGCCCCAGATCACAACCATCCTCCTCCCCTCCCCTCCCTCCCCTCCCCTCCCCTCCCCTCCCTCCCCTCCCCTCCCCTCCCCTCCCCTCCCCTCCCCTCCCCTCCCCTCCCCTCCCCTCCCCCCCCCTCCCCTCCCCCTCCCCCTCCCCCTCCCCTCCCCTCCCCTTCCTCTTTTTTTAAGAATATTTTATTTATTTATTTTTCGAGAGAGGGGAAGGGAAGGAGAAAGAGTGGGAGAGAAATATCAATGTATGGTTGCCTCTCATGTGTCCCCTGCTGGAAACTGGCCTGCAACCCAGGCATGTGCTCTGACTGGGAATCGAACCTCGATACTCTGGATCACAGGCCCGAGCTCAATCCACTGAGCTATGCCAGCCAGGGCTTCCTTTCTCTTTTTAACATCACTTTCTCACTTCCTATTGATTTCCCCTCTGGGCCTCTTACTGATGTCCTTAAGGAATGACCCTCAGGAGTGACTACTGCTCTGACCCCCTTGGGCCCTAGACATGCTCAATTTCATCCAGTGTCCCCTGACTACAAGTGGCCTGGGAGGGGCTTCATGGACTGGGCTCCCAAGTGGGATCAAGGAGTCTACTCAGGGCTTGGGACTGAAATCACAGAAGTGGCCGTGGAGTGTGCAGAGCTCCGGACCACAGGTGGTTCGTGCAGCCCAGCAGCGTAACAGCCCTGGCCTGCTCTCCAGACAGATGAGGAGCCCAAGTAGGATCCAGAGGGGTTTTGCGATTACCTACTCACACCCTGTGTGAGGACGGAAGTGGGCTTTCAGGCTCCCAGGCCAAGACTTGCGTCTGTGAAATGTACATATCAGGGAAGCTTCAGAGCAACCCTAAGTGAACTCCCACTCTGCAGACCAGCAAACTGGACCTCAGGATGGGCCATCGTGCCCACAGTCACATGGCTGGCAGAACCAGGGTCCAAACACAGGGCTGCCTGACTCCAAAACACATTTCCTTCCACCTCCCACTCGCCACCCAGCTCCTGGTGCTTTAGAACCCCAGAGGACCCACCCCCCTCTGGGGCATTCCTGCCCACTGTGACTTCCCTGTCTTTTCAGGTGCCGCCACCTAAGAAGCCGGCATTCCCGAAAATGGGGCAGACCTCCAGGCTGGGCCACATCCCACGCCCACCTGAGATGTGTGGCCGCTCAGGTAGTTCAGGGCTTCGCAGCCACCGTCAAAAGTTGAGGGGCCCTCGGCCCTTTGGCAGCTTCCTGGATTTCCTTGTTGAGGGCCAGGTGTTGGACAGCTTGCAGAGGGTGGTGGAGGAAGCAGCTGAGCGCATGGCTGCCATGAAGACGGAGACTGGGATGCCGCTGGTGGAGGTGCAGGACCCAGTAGAGGTGCCCACGGGTGGGCGGCGGGTGCGTTCCCGGCCCAGCCACAGCACCGTGCACCGGCACCGAGTCAAGCCCAGCCTCTGCACTGGGCACCCCAACAACTACCCATCCTGCTCCAGTTCCATGTCTGACTCACATAGCAGCGTCACAGCTGACTATTTGGGTTCCCACAGTCAAGGCAGCAACCTGAGCTGCCATGGCGTGGGCCCACTGCCACCCTTGAGGGACAGACTTTTGGAGGAGAAGAGTCTCAAACGGCTGCTGCAGCTGGAGAACAGAGGGGTGAGCGATGGCGCCTTGGCCCGGGGGGGAGGTAGGATGGAGTCCACCCCAGAGTCTGGTTCAGGCCTGGCTTGGCTGGTCCTGGACACCTCTGAGAGTCCGACCTCTCTCTCCAGAAAAGCCTGGGGCAGTCCTGCTCCCAGGGGGACTCTCTGCTATGGGACTCGTTGGGCTCAAGTTCGGGCATTCTCGCAGCGTCAGAGCCGGGTCCTGGAGAGAGAAAGCCGGTCTCCCTCCAGAGAGAGTTCAACAAGGAGATCAAGTCCTTGCTGAGCCAGCCAGAGTCCTTCAGCGTGCCTGGCTACTCTGCCCTCCGTGAGCCCCATCTGACCCTGGACTTCCTGGCCAAGCACCACCTCTTCCCTGCCCTGCAGAGTGTGATCAACCAGGCTGTGGACAAGCTCAGTGGCGCCCGCCGCCACAACGGCTGCCCTCTCTTCCCGTCAGAATGGGAGCCCAGCACAGAGCCCAATTTGGAAACTTCCAAGGAGGCCATACCCACCGAAGGGGAGGAGGAGCCCTATGATTCTCCCCCCACCACAGCCTGCAGCTACAAGATGGCTCGAAAAAAAGGCAGCAAGTCTAGAGGACGGGGCAAGCTGAAGGAATGTGGTTCTCCTATGGCTAGCGCCCAAGGGGTCACCAAATTCAGGCTCCAAGTGATACCCACAGAAGAGACCAAGGTCTGCTCACCCCACCCCAGGCAGGAGGCACCTGACCAGGGCCCCAAAGAACAGAGACAACCCATGTTCGCTTCTGGGCCCCTGAGGGGGGGCCCAGGAACCAACCAAAGGGCCCAGCCCTGGCGGAGGCTGCACCTCACCCTTCCCGGCCCGGGGACCAAGGTGGAGGTGCCCAGCCAGGCCCACCTCACCCAGGTCGAAGCTCCGCCCACCTCCCCCTGCCCTCTCTCCTCCCACTACATCTCACCGTCCACTACCTCCCCCTGTTCTCGCCACTCACCTCCTTGGAAAGAAGCTTCTCCCCATCACTCACTTCACTGTCACCGCAGACGACATCCTCATGAGTGGGACTGGGGGGGTTAAGGGCGGGGATGCCAGAGAAGGGCCCCTTCAGCCACCATTCTTTGTAGCCACTGTCATTGGCAGGTACCCATGGTTCAGGTCTCTTGCCCTGCACTGTGGAAACCACCTGAGCAAGGGACAAGCTGACGGGGCCCAGGAACCCTGGCCTAGTTACTGCTGGGTGTTATCGAAGATAAATAAAGGCTACTGTTAATTCTGGGTAATTTTTTTAACATTTGCACGTGAGTCCTGGAGACTTCCCCATGGGGGAAGAGTCCTGTCCCTTGCAGACAGCAGCCCAGAGTGCGGCCCGGCATCTTGGGTCCAGGACCCTCTGACCCTGCTGCCTTGGACAGCACTCCAGTGTATCTGGCCTGATGACAGGGAGTTGGCCAGGAAGGGCACAGAAGAGATGTAGGTGGCTTCACCCTGGTGGGGGGCCAGCACAGCCCCCGACCCTCTTCTCACCCAACAAGGCACAGGTACACTTACTTCCCTTCTCTGAACCAGGCCTGGGCCGGGCAAGAACCTGCTGGAACCTAGATTGTCCAGCTTCAGTTTGGCTGACACTGTGAGGAGGTTACCAGCCTTGGGCCTGACTGGTGTGGCCAGTGTGGTGGTGAGAGTGTGGTTAAGTGTGAGGGTTGGCTGACCTGTGCTCAGCCGTTTAGGGGGACAGCAGAGCAGATGCGACGAGGCCATACCTTTAGTGGGATGGACATGGTGTCCATGTGGGTGACATGAAGGGCGCTCTGGGTGTGAGGGGCATTGCAGGGCAGCGAGAATGGCATGACGTGTCTCCCTTTCCCTCCCTGGCTGCCGCACAGAGCCCCAACTACGAGTTCACGAAGAAGACGAGACTGCCCTCCATCTCATCCAAGTCCACAGCCCACCTGTCCAACCCCTGCCACGAGGAGCTTGTCAACTATCTGACGGAGCAGGCTGTCTCCTTGCTTGTTTGCAAGTACAAGTTTGAGACGAACCTCGCCAAGCAGCTGGGCTTCATCTCCTTTCCCATCACTGAAACACTCATGGACCTCTTGCTGGGCTTCAAGAAGGTGAAAGGCTCCCACATCTGCCTGTCTTCGGCGGTCGACTGGACCTGCCTGCTGCGAAAGCTGGAGGAGGCCCAGTGGGACCAGCAGGCGCCCCAGCAGGCGCCCCAGCAGGCATCTCAGCACGACACCTCCCATCACACTGCCTCTCACAGGAGCACTTCCCAACGCAGCGAAGAGTCCTGCTCCTCCTTGCCCAAGCCAGCTGTCACGGATCAGGGGGTGGCCAAGGGGGAGCAGCTCCACACTGAGTTGTTGGTCCCCCAGCTGCTCACCCCTCAGGAGAACAATACGGCTGAGGAGCAAGAACCCAGGAACCTCTCGGAGCCCCAGCTCTCCGTGTCTTATGGTGCTGGAGTGGTCTCCGACCCGTATGAGCAAGTGGTGGCCACGGGGGAGAGCCAGAGCAGTGAGGAGAAGGAGGAAGACAAGAACTATAAATTTGGGGGTGATGAGAGCGAGACCTAGAGAGCCCTCGAGCAGAGGCCAAGATCAGCCACTCCACAGATGGCCCTAGAGATCCCCCCAGGTCCCGCTAAGCTGAACCGAGTTCTAGATTTCCTGCTCTTCCTCCCTTCCTCCTGCTTCAGGGAAACGCTGCCCGCCCTGCCAGCCCCTGCCCTGAGCTGAGGTCAGAATGGGCTAAATGCCCACAAGGAACTCTGCTCAGCCTCTCAAGAGAGCCAACGGGGAAAATAAAGCTTCTGTCGATGGAGCACAGTTTTCTTGACCGGCACTTTCAGCCTCCCTTGCACGCGCCTGCTTACCTGCCCTCGAATAGCACCTCCAGTGGCCAGGTCTGGCTGCAGCTGGCCTTCATGACAGCTGGCAGTCCTCTGGACCCCATGACCTCACATGCTCTGTTGAACACAAATCCCTGTTCAGGGCTTTTCTCTACTTCTGTCTACTGCATCTTCCTGGCTCTTTGAGCCATCAGGGTTCCTGGTTCCCCTCCATCACAGCCCCTGTGCATCATGGCTCCTGCTTCCACAGGGCTCCTCCTCTGCCAGGGTGACTCCCTCCCTCTGACATGCCACACCTCACGTTCTGACACACACTTTCCTGCTGCTCCTACAACTACCTGTCTTCCTAATTTGTATTTCTCACCTCTAACTTCTGAAGCTGAAGGTTCCATGCCAAGCCACATGGGGGCTGCTGGTTGGTCAAGCACGGGATTGGCTGCCCCGGGTTGGTCACATGACTACCGTTTTTGCAGTGGCCCCGGACGGGACCACCCTATTCTCTCCAGAAGAGTCTGTGGGCACCGCAGGTATTATCTCCAAGGTTCTCCTGGGCCTTCTGGCCTTTCCGTGCCACAGGTCAGCACTCTCCTCCTCTCTGGCCTCCCAGGGGAGTCTGTTTTCTCCCTGATAAGGCATCTTTGCCCAGGGACCAGCTCACCTTCCCCCCTCACCTCCCTTCTCCCGTGGCTGAGAGAACATGTGGAAATGTTCTACAGTGACTCACCACATAGAAGGTAGGTCTCTCATGCCTCCTGACCGAGCCTGCCGGGAGCAGAGAGCCCAGGACTGCTTAACCCAGCCTGAGCAGGCTTTGTGGTCCATGCCTATGGACACAGCAACTGTAGAGCTTCCTCTGGAGCCAGGCAGGGAGGACCTTCCGCATAACACCCAGCCCTGTGATTCAGGGCAGAGGACTTGCTCTGCTGCACATCAGAGGAACCAGAGTCTCAAGGTGGGGGGTCAGGGACTAATTTTTCTCCACAGAGCTTTTTTGGTAAGGATCTTTTAAAGAACATGCTCAGCCCGTAAGACCCACTCCCTGAGGCCACCCACTGCTACCACCACCATAGTGTGGGGGCCACGACAGCCATTTTCATTCCCTGTTGTCGTACCATTTGGCCATAGTTGCTTGGCCATACTGGCACATCCCCAGTCCCAGCTAAGCCAGTCGGGTTCTGTCCCAGGAGCCTGCAATTGGGATGCACAGTTGGGTTCAGTTTGCACTGACGGTGTGGATGGTGAAGAGCAGCCACCTCCCACCTTCCACCTTCAGAGAGACCAGAAATCCTGGTGGCGAGAGGCAGCTAAGAAGGGGAGTCCCAAGATTCTGAGAGACAGCAGCTGCTGCGATACCCACCAGCTTCCCAGGGCCCACTGGGAGGACTTCCCAAGTCCTCGGGGAGGACCGACTATATTCTCACCCCAGCCTCAGAGGCACATGGTACTAGAGACACCTGAGCTTCAGCTCCTGTTTCAGGTGTCGCTGTGTAAGAAACCACTCTGAGACTCAGGTGGCTCCAAACCATTTGTCATCATGCTGGCTTTGTTTTTTTAATATTTATTTTTAGAGAGAGGGGACGGAAAGGAGAAAGAGTGGGAGAGAAACACCAATGTGTGGTTGCCTCTCATGTGTCCCCCACTGGGGACCCGGTCTGCAACCCAGGGATGTGCCCTGACTGGGAATCGAACCGTCAACCCTCTGCTCCACAGACCCGTGCTCAATCCACTGAGCTACATCAGCCAGGGCATGATGCTGGCTTTTTTTTTTTTTTTAAGATTTTATTTATTTATCTTTAGAGGGGAAAGGAAGGAGGAGGGAAGGTGGGTGTGTTGGGGACCAGCAGGGCGTTGGCTTTATTTTCTTATTTTATAATCCATTTCTAGAATGGGATATTTATTATAAGCTCATTCAGTAAAAGAACCAGAGTCCTCTTTGTTTGTGAGACACTGCAAAACCCCCAGAAGCAGGAAAATCAGTTAGGCTGCAGTGGCAGATACCTGGAGGGGAGACGGGGTGGCTTGGCTTAGGGTGGGGAGGAGGTACGAAGGAGAGATGACTTGCAATTTGTTTTGGAGTCACAGTGTTGGGTTAGATGTGAGGTAAAGAGAGGAATCAAAGATGAATCCCAAGTTCTTGGCTTTGGCAAATGGCCACCGGAGGTGACATTACTGGGATGTGGAAACCTGGGGGTGGGTGGTGGCGAGAGCATTTTGAGGGAGGGGAGCAGGAATTCTGCTTTGGACACATTAAGTTTGAGATGTTTGTTGGTATGTCCAATGGAAACATCCATTGCTTTCCAGGCTGTATCCTAGCTTCTCTACCCTGGGCTGGAGGCCCCTCAAATGTAAGATTCCTCAAATCCAGGGCAGACCGTTAGCAATTTAGACACTCTAAGTCCTGGAAAGATCAAGGTGCCCTATCCCATATGTAATTCAAAGTAAAAACAGTATTAAACACAAAAACTCCAAGATATCACGTTGCTGTAATTAAAATGGTTCTGTTCTGAATTTTCTGAATGCAAAATTCTGGATAAGTTCATTAACCATGAACTGTTCTCCTGGCTTTGCTGGTGCCCCAAGTGCATGGGTATTCAACTTATTGGTTAAAGCCAGTTCCCCTGTGGCCTCAACAGACTGCCTGGAGTGAAATCAACGTAAGGACGTTCCGCTAATGGATGAATAAATAGGCATGTAAATTTCCCAACCTTGAAGACAAAACTGACAGCCCTATGAGAAGGCAGTGAGACCGGGGCCCGTGCTTGTCAGAAACCTGGGACACACAGTCACCCAGTCTTGGTTCCCACCGTCACTCGCTTAGTTTGCCAAGGCTCTGGTTTCCTAAGACTGGGTGCTTCCCACTTTTGGGGCTTTCCGATGAGAACGTACCGTTATCCTCAACACCGCAACTCCCGGCTGCCCTCTGCTGCTCAGTGGCAATAGTGTCATGAAGGGAGTAGGGAAGTTACGTGAATTCAGAAACCCCAGGGTCTAGGGCCTGAGGTGACCCAATGTCAGAGAGGGGACAATGGCCTAGTGACTAGGGGATTATTTAATCCCAGGATCTGGGAACTGAACGACCTGAGATCTGTCGACTTTGTGACCACAAAATCTAGTGGTCGAACAACCTTAAGACTCAGCAGCGGCGGACCCAGGCTCTGAGAGGAGCTGTGATTGAGCGCTCGGGGATCTAGGATGAAGGAGCTTCATGAATAGGGGGGTCAGAGGCTACTGGGTGGGGCGCCCTCAACCTACAGCTGCACCCGGGTTGCTCTCGCAGGGCTTGGAGCCGCACCAACCTCCCTTTGGTTTTCATTGGTGAGTCCTCGGAAGCGTGGACCAATTAAAACCCTCCTCGTGTCTCCAGCCCCCTCCCTAGCTGCGGCTCCGAAAGCTGGGGGAGGGTCCCTTCCGCCGCGACCGAATGGCAGGGCAGGCGGAGCGCTGAGAGACCGGCGACTGGCTGCCGCACCGGTCCCTGTCAAAGCCGGATTGGCTGGCTGCGGAGAAGGAAGCGGCTCAAGGGACCGAGCTGGCGGAGCCGGGCTGGGGCGATGTGGAGCGCGAGCCGTGGACGAGCTGCGGAAGCGGCGCTTCTGGGGCTACTGTTGGCGTTCTTGGTGCCGGCCACCGGTGCCGCCAAGACCGGCGCAGGGCTCGTAACCTGCGGGTCTGTCCTGAAGCTGTTCAACACGCAGCACAGGGTGCGGCTGCACTCGCACGACATCAAATACGGATCCGGTGCGCGGGGCTCAGGACTGGGGCATCTCTAGGGGGCGGGGCTTAGGGCTAGGAGTTTGAAGTCTGGGTGATCTTGGGCGACTGCGGGCCAGGGGTCTGAGGGTTATCTGGCTGGAGTTATTGGGGGACCTAGGGGGACAAAGATGGGAGGTTGGAGGGGATATTCGGGATATCGGGTGCGAGTATGGTCGTCTGGGAGCCGTGGTCCAAAGGACTTGGAGTTCAGCGGGGGGGCCACGGGTGAGAGCTTGAGGGGAGCCGTTGGGGTCGCAGGGTTGAGGTTGTCCGGGGGAAGTTTATGGTGTTCAAGCCGAGGATTGCAAATTCTCGGATTGACGGTGACCCCGGGGGTGGGGGTGGGGTGTCGCCGTCAGGCAGTGGCCAACAGTCTGTGACCGGCGTGGAGGCGTCTGACGACGCCAATAGCTACTGGCGTATCCGCGGCGGCTCGGAGGGCGGGTGCCCGCGAGGGTCCCCAGTGCGTTGCGGGCAGGCCGTGAGGCTGACGCACGTGCTCACTGGCAAGAACTTGCACACGCACCATTTCCCGTCTCCGCTGTCCAATAACCAGGTGAGCCCCCTTCCCCCGCCCCAGGAGAGGCTTCTGGTGTGTGTGTGAGGGGCTGGGGACAGAGCCTACCCTTCCACTCACCTACTCTGAGCCTCAACTTCCTCTGTGAAAGAGGAATTTAAATTCAGTGTTTACTGAGGCCCCCTCTGGAGACACAGGTGACTCACCTGGGTCCCTATCTGGGGCCAGCGGGAAGCCTGTCAAGAAAAAGGATTCTGAGCCTGCTGGATGGCTCCACTCCTGGGGGCGAGTTGGACCCAGGAGGGGGATCCATATGGCCTTGGCCTGGGAAACCTGCAAGGGAAGAAGAACTAAGTCTGAGTCTGGAAGAATGAGCAGGAGTCCTCTAGGCCACAGAGAGGAGGAGAGCATCTTTCCAGGCCTGGGGAAGAGCTAGTGCATGGAGTTCACTGGAACGGGATAGGGGAGGAAGGGTGGGAGGTTAGGGAAGGAGTAGGGGTGGAACAGAGGGTGCTTTTGGAGGGTTGTCAGAACAAAAAGCGTGAGCTAGTAGAGACCTTGACTGTCAGCCTGAGGGATTGGACTTTATATTGAAAGTCGGAGGGATTAGGATGGGAAGAACGTGGAGGAAGAGAGAGGAGGGGGCCTTGGCTCTGTGGGGGCCAGTGGTCACCACTCAGGTGGGATAGGGTTTGCATTGCGTTTGAAGAGCCTCTGTTGGGGAGGCTCTACTGGGGGCTGGGGTTGGTGTTGTCCC